TATATATATATACTCGTATTATTCGTTAAAATTAAGTCAAATTAATAATTACCTGATCCCATTTCATTAATTGTAAGAGAAAAATCATTCTCGAGTTTGGATTTCTGTTGTTGTGCAAATTTAATATCTTGATCTCGAGTCTGTTCTGCCTGAATGTTTCGAGAACATATGTTTTCTGCATCCTTGATGCTGTTTTCAGAATTAAGAATCTCATTCATGATGTTTCTTAATTTCGCATTCTTAGCATTAACTTTATTGTTCTGAAAATATACAACAAGAATATTAATGTAATATTAATGTAATTCTTGTGACAACATTCAAGTTTAAAGAAGTTGAACAGATTTTAAGTAGAAAAATTCTGTATTATTTCGCGTTTTTCATATTCTTTAAATAACAATGTACCGTTTTCATATTCTTTAAATAACAGTGTACACAGCAATTATTTTTTATAGAATGCCTCTCCTAAGTCTCGTCGAGCGTTTAGATTATAAACGCTAAGATTCCTTGTTGTTAAATGCATGCTGATTTGCATTTTTCATAAATTAATTTCTCATTATTACGAAAATCGCAAATTAATACAGAATTTTAGTTTAACCTATTTTATTTGCACTCGAGCATTATCACAAAAATATATTACTGAACATACCTGTTACATTAATATGTAACATTAATAATATCATAATAAAATATTTTTTAAATATTTTTATTTTGTGTTATACTCACATGATCTTTTAAAGAATTTTTCAACGTTGTCATTTCAATCTTTATATTTTCAATTTTTTTATTCAACGGATGCAATTTTTTGTCTATTAATTGCATTTTTTTTGCTGCTTTATCTCTGGCTTTCTTTGACTATACAAACATATGCAAAAGAATCAATAAAAAAGCAATGAAGAAAAACATTTAATATTTTACAAAATTAATTTGATGTACCTCTACTAATTTCCTCCGCATTTGATCATACAGCATCCATGCCTTCTTTTGCTTCAGTGTTACAATCTTTTTTTTTATCAACTTTTTTTCTTTTATTGTTGCAACAGTTTGTTGTAATCCATCACGTCTCTGAGTTTTAGATTCCAATAATCGTTTTGTATTGGTTATATCAACTTCCAATTTCTTAAAATTGACTCTTTGATCCTTCAATTTTAGATGATACTCAAGAAGTTTTGGGTCTCCGACAGATCTTTCTGTATTTTCTAACAATGCTTGAGCATCCATTTTTGAGAAATCTTGTACCTTATCTTGCGGCAAAAATTGACAAAGATTGTTGACCTGTAAAAAATAAGTTTAAAGTAATAAAGGTATTAAGAGACACATTTTATGTGTTTAATCAGAAACTATTTAAATATAAGTCAGAATTATTCTATATGCTTCTTGATACATTTTATCCCAAGAAATTAAAGAAAGGTTTTAATATAAATTTAAAAAATTTTATACCAAAAATATTTAATAGAAAATTGATAAATCTAATCTGGAGATTCCTAAGAAAAAAAAATTAGAAATATAAATTAAGATACATACTTGAATATTAAGCTTGGATGTGAATTCCTGTATATTTTTGATATTTGCTTGATTACCATTAATCATCCATATGGATTTTCCTTCTTTGGTAAATGTCCTAGTTATTATAGAATCCTGTTTGAAGCCATTTTTCAGATGGATTTCGATTTTTGCTGAATCCCGTCCATATTTCACATATTCTCCTATGTGAAGGGCTCGCCCAATGATGTTTGGTTTACCTCCTAGACCGAGAACTATAGCGGCGACAATGGTGGATTTGCCAGAACCATTAGGTCCAACAATAACATTAAGATATCTTCCTGGTATCACTGTCACTTTATCATAAGTCCTGTTAAAGGGGGAATATATTGGGAAATACATCAATACATTTAAAAAGTATATGACAAAATAAATGTCTAATAATGTAATATAATAAAATACAATGTAATATTTAGAATAGACAAAAGTTGTAATTTCACATAAAATAAGATTTTATATATTCTTCACTCACACAAAATTCTCCAGATGTATGTAGGTGATAATTCCCTCCTCGATGTTGTCATTCATCTTGAAAGGTTAAATCTGAATAAGTTGTATTTTGTATGCAAAAGACAGAAATATCATGGAACGTAATATGGAATGTAATGAAGCACTTTCCACATAAGTGGAAGCGTTAACTAAGCATAAAAGTAAGATAACAAATTCTTTTTATTATCCATTATCGCACTCCTTATTTTACACGTAAAGAAATACCGCCAATGCCGCTAAACAACTGCGGAGACATCTAGTAGCAGTGATAGCAAACTGTATATATGTAAGTCTATTCATGATGTACAAAGTAGTAAGGTATAGGCATTCCTGATGATGCGCATGCGTTGAATTTCTGAACCAACCAGTACGCAATCCATTTTGTAAGCAATATAACATCCGTTTCGTCGCGTACGTCAGTGTAGACTGTTTTCTGTTATAATTTCACATAAAATAAGATTTTATATATTCTTCACTTACACAAAATTCTCCACATGTATATAGGTGATAATTCTCTCCTCGATGTTGTCATTCTTGAAAGGTTAAATTTGAATAAGTTATATTTTGTATGCAAAAGATAGAAATATCATGGAACATAATATGGAATGTAATGAAGCACTTTCCACATAAGTGGAAACGTTAACTAAGCATAAAAGTAAGATAATAAGAGAATATGATTTGATTTTATCTTCTTTTGCGGCTTTGCAATATACGCTGTAAATAATAAATATAATTAATGTTGAGAGCATCATATTGCTTGATATTTTGTTTAATGTATTGAGACCGTTTAGGAATCATGCCGACTTTATTCCTGCATTTAAAGTTTTTATTGTATTTCATTAAATATACATATATATATTTCAAATTTTACATAATTCATGCATTTTTATTTCTTATCAATTTCACTTTAAAATGAGCGCTTACAAAATAGGTCATCTTCTAATTGGTTCAACCGCTAAAGCTGCCGCCATTATGCACAATGCTATACCTTGTTTTTTATACCATGGATCTATTCTTTTTAGTTAAAGTTCTTGTATAGTACATCTTTCTTCCTTTTCTCTCCACATTAAAAAGAAAAAGAGAAAAGAGATAAGCGTGCAAGAAGTTCACCTAAAAAGAACCTTAAATATTATATATACATGCAAACACTATCACTGGTATTCATAATCAATTCTTTAAAATCATAAATACGTTATATTGGGTTGTCCGGAAAGTTCGTGCCGATTAACCTATACATAATTTAATAAATGTATACTAAAATTTAAATCTTCTGCATTTCAATTTTCCTTCAACATCGGCACAAACTTTCCGGACAACCCAATAAATATAAATTTAAGATATCATAAAGTAATAATGTAGCTATATTAGCATCTTAAGACATTATTTAAGTTCCAAAACAAAATAGTGTAGTAAGCCTTAAGAATTGACCAATCATAGACTATTATTTTTCTCACTTGTACTGTAATTGATCGGTTTTCTATGGTTTAATTATTACATCATATTATTGCTACTGTAAACGATCAGTAATCGCTTAAGCGCACAACAATTGGCGTTTTGCTCTAATTGGTGGAAAAGTAATCGTCAATTGTTAATCATAATGTTAATTATAGTTTGTTAATTATAGTTTAATCGGCAATCGCTAGTATGATTACGATTTTAAGGCCAGTATTTATAATTTGTTCTTATATCCAATTTTTTCATTTGTAGATAACTTTATCCAAGAGATATTTCCCAGATTACAATAGAGATATCTCCTGGATACGATTATCAGCAAAACTTATGGAAGTGAAGAAATTGGTCATTAGTCTAGATCTGTCGAAGAAGTAACTACTTAATATAATCGAGGGAGTCTTAGAAATCATTATAAAATTCATATAAAATCTCTATGTATAATCCAATAATTACATATGCAACCATAAGAAATCATTGTATAATATTAAATAAAATCGTATTTTTTACCAAATTATTTCATTTATGAAAAAAATTATTTGTAATCAGACAAAATCATATAAAATCATGTAATCAAAATCAATATTTCAACTAGTGATTCTCGAGTTTTGCTGCCGCCTTCTGTAAGAGTGGCTCTTCTTCTTGAGATTTTCCTGTTTGGATTTCCTTATACTCAACATAAAAAGTCACAGAATCATGCGATAAATTCAGTGGTTCCTGCACACAAAACGTAATAATGTTTGTCACGTGACTGAAGTTGTTGTAACCAATAATTCTATGTTCTTAAGTCGGTCTCATTTTGCAAAATTTCTAGAAATGACATAAAGGTATCTATTCATGCGGAATGCCGAACGAGAGGAACCAATCATAAGCATTCCGCACCAATAGTAATTGATGTGGAACGCTTGTGATTGTGATTCTACTTTTGTTCCGCGTTACGCTATTCCGCTGTATGGGTATCCTAAGGGGCTCTGCACAATAAAAGGAATAGAGAATAGAGAATAAGAATTTCAACCTATCAGAAACTGTGTATTCCATAATACATAATTTCTGATAGGTTGAAATTCTTATTCTCTGTTCTCTGTTCCCTTTATTGTGTTTCTTTTATTGTGCAGAGCCCCTAATACTTCCTCACTTTAACTGTGTTCCAAAATTGATTGCCAGCGCTGCAGGTATGTCATCATAAAAACATGCTATCAACAGCGTTCCAATTTTGTAAGCATTTGGTGCGAATTTACATTTCAAATTAGAACGATACTCGCCATCCTGGTTGCTGTAGCTGCTTCATCTCTCCAGCCGCAGCAGGAAATGACAAAATTAGTGATGTCTTTATTCTCTTGCAGCACTGCCACAACGTGCTACAATGGATTTTTGTAAAGGTATTGACAGTGCTGCCAAATAATTTTGGAACACAGCCTTTGCAAAACTTCTAGAAATAGCATAATATTACTTCCGCCGCGCGGTGGAAATGTTGAATTGGTTACGTTCAGCAAAAAAAGCAACTTTGCAATTGTTGCGAAATTCTCTAATATGATTAGTCTTATTCTTAATTCCTCATTGGATCTAAGAACGGAATCCACATTGCTCAAAAATTGAAGATGATCTTAATTAATGCATGAACTAATCAGAGAGCCATATTAACATTAAAACTGCTTGAGAGAGAAGAATGGACTATTTAGACCTAAATGTATAAATCAATCATATTTAAGAATTTTACGACAGTTGCAAAACTGTTTTTTTGTTAAATCATTGAATTCAATTTTTGTTGCGCGGTGGAAATTATACATATATCTGTTACTTTCGAGCAATCGAGATGATGATTGATTATCGCGTCAACTTCCGCTTCGTGACAATGTCGTGTGCAGGAGCCATAACTGTAAGGATATATCCACAAACTTACATATAGTCATATAAACGTATGCAAAGAAAATTATCCAATCATATTTCACATGCGACTTTATAAGAGAAATGTGATTGGATAATTTTCTTCATGCATACGTTTATGTGTAAGTTGTGTGGATATATCCTAAGACGTATCGTAAGAATTAGCCAATCACAGTCTAGAATTGTCAAAAACTTTCTGCTCTGATTGATTAATTCTTACGATTACTGTTACGCCTGTTACGGAAAGTATGTATGGGCCTCCTTGTTTCAAAATCGTCTCATGTTTTAAATGATAAAATGTTAAAACAGTTCTCTGATTGGTTCATGATCATAGATTTGTTCACATGCTCCAACATGTTCCAATATATTCCAACATGCTCCTATCATAGTCCCTACACGTTGGAATGAGTAAGAGCTATTGTAGGAATATGTTGGAACATCTTGGAGCATGCAACATGAACAAACCTCTTAGGGTGGAATCCCATGAGATATATTTGCAGCGTAACCAATCAGACGCAATCCGCTGTTGTGGTTTCGCGTTTTGCTGATTGGTTACACGATATGCGGCAAATACGCTTTATGGGATTCATCTCTTAAGACAGTCTGCTTAAGACAGTCTGCTTAAGACAGTCTTAAATATAAAAATCAATGAATGAAATCTATGAATATCGGCTTTAATTAGCAATAGTTTTTATTTTCAATTTATGCATTTCTGGATGTATCAAGCTTTCATTCCATATTTTATATTATTCGAGATGTAAAAAATACTTAAAATTAATGAAATTTATTAATAATTTTTTAATTGCTTTAAAAATTAATCACAATTAATTAAATACAACGCATCAAAGG